TCTTCATTAAAGTGCTTCTAGGTTTATAAACTTTGAAATTGTCTGTTTGTTTGTGTCCAAGAAACGACGTCAGAACGGCTAAACTAATCGGGCCCAATTTTTTTGAGGCAACTCAAATGATCCCAGAAAGGTTAATGAATGATAAGAATAAAAAAAATTTCCTCCAAAAAATTTGCATTTTCGCAATATATTGAAAATCCAAGAAGATGAATTATAAATCAAATCCTTAAAATATGCTTACAGATAGAGCAAGAACCATAAATAGTAGATGGCCTAATATTTTATATATATTCAATGGATTAAAAGTATCAAACAGGCCCGCAGAAATTTTTCTTTAATTTATCTATTCTTAAAAATTAAAAACTAATGGACTAGAACGTGCCTACATCTCTTCTTGTGCTCCTAATTTTTCCAGGAGGGGAGACATCTCCCAGTTTTCCAGTTTTCCAGGGATCGGGGGACGTTCCCCCAATTTTCCAGGGGTGCAGAAGGACCTTTCCTCCACCCCATAAGCCGCCTCTGTCTGAAGTGTCAACTAATAAAATTTGAATTGTGAAACGAAACTTTCATATGTCGTCTTACATTAAATACAAATTAGAATTATTATCTTTGCACCACAATTTTTATCTAATTACAGTAGGGCACTGTTTTGCTTGCTACCCCNTGTACCCCCCCAATTCTCTTTCTTTTTTGTTAAAGCCCAGAGCAATTATCAATTAAATACAGAGATACCCAGAAAACTCTGAAAGGAAGACGACTGTTACACTCAAGTATCAATCCTGTTCTAATTTAAAGGAAAAGTTGTTTTCAATGGTTCTTCAAGTTTCAACTGAACAGCGTATATTTTTTAACTTTTGAATTACTAAGAAGAAAGGATCGAACTATAGTAGAGAATTCAAATCACGTTTCCTTAAAAGTTAGACCAAAACTGAAAATTGCAAATTTTCTTTTTTACAATTTTGCCAATTTTCTGTGATTCTGTGTTTGAATCTTTAAAAATTTTTAGATTTCAATAGAAAAACTTAATACACACATTTTTCTTTTCTAAACTGTTGCTTTTATGAGAAAAAAATGAGTTCGCAGATTTTTTTTGACCATTAGAGTACCAAAAGAATTAAAAATTTTCTAAAGATATTTTTAAAAAAACACCATACAAAAGAGTTGCACAGAAAAAGATACACTTTTGTACCAGGCGCCGTAAATCACACACTTTTTTTACTCACCCTGTATATATATATATATATATATATGTTAGCTAAAACAGACTATTGCCGTTGGACCAAATTAGCTGATTTTTTTTAGGGAATACTTGTGTACCTGCACATGGGTGTTCCACGAAACATGACAGTTGATAAATAGTTATGAATGCCGTCTTCCCTATACTGTATTAGATATTAAAGGCCTTTTTCAGTTTATTTCATTAGAAAAATCTTTTGTTTAAATATATTTTACTTTGAAATCAATTTCACTATAACGACTCCCATTTAATATTTTTATTATTGTCTTTGGTATCAAACAATTTAACAAATAATGGAAGAATTCTATGCTATTCACCAACTGTCATGTTTCGTGGGACACCCTGTAGCTAAACAAATTCAAATTTTTTTCTTTCCTAAAAATTGGCATTTTTTAATCTATTTTTTTCCTTTCAAAATTAAAAAAAGTTTTCCAACTTTTTTAAAATTTAAAAGTATCAGTGCAAAAGTATTTTGAATTTATTAAGTCAACTTATTTTGCATTCTCGTCAAAAAAAAAATTTGAAAATAATCAAGTTTCAGGTAGCGAAATAAGGATACCTCCATCATAGTAAATCCCTTTTAAGATTAAGAATCGGAAATGCTATGGAGATTCACATGAAATAACATCTAAGTCTAATTGTTTCTTAATGTCAAAAAATTATATATTTTCAACAACAAAAAAAATCTTGTTTTTTCTTGACTTTGTTTAATTTTCCTATAAAACGTAAAAAGTTCCTTGAAAGATATGAATACAGGATAAATAAAAACAATGCATGACTATAACGGTAGCCTTTTGGAATTTTGTAAATCCTTAAATAAACTTGAATAAGTTTGATGAAACATTTACAAACCTTTGATGTTTTCCAAGTGTATACAACTGCAGACAAGGTAAAAGATAACAAAAGAAGGTGCTTGTAAAGAAAGTCTAATAAAAATGGAGTTGAAATTTTTTGACAACAATTAAAAATCGTCTTAACTTTGTGCAGCATTGTTCATATCTATTTAAAGCTTACACCGAATTTCTTTCCGAAATCTTGTAAAACTCTTGTTAAATAAAATGTATGACATAATGATAATTTAATCGAAAATCTCAATACAGTACTTTCCATTCCTTAAAACCACAAAAAGAAAACTCTACTTGACATTTTAAAATTTAGTTTATTTGTTGGATATAAATTTATATTTATTGAAAATACATTAAGGTAATATATTTCGAAATTAGCTTTTCTGATACGAAAAAAAGAGAAACTTCTAATTAAACGTTAGAAAAAAAACAATTTTTAAACTTTGATGTCACATCATTTTTTTACAAACATGCAAATAAGCTTAGTGAACCAAATGAATTTGGTTCAGCCGTTCAGAATAAGAAAACTGAGCTAGCAGAGAGCATAAAACAAAACATAAAACGTATGAAGATTAAAAAATAATAATCATCATTAAATGTGGTTCAAAACGAACATGACAATCTAAAGACGTCCAAATATAGATGTTAAGTATTCATTTCTAATGAAAAAATAGAAATCCTTCCTTCAAAATAGTAAAAAAACATCATTTTTTTGGATACGACATTATTATAAGGTAACTACGATCACATTATGCCCAATCGAAGAAATTCAAAATTTGAAATGATAATATTGAATATTGAGTTGTGCAAATTGTAACACATTAGAGTATTACAAGAGATGTGAAATGTTGTGATGAATGCTTGATCTCGAACTTATGTTAATCTGCAGAGATTCTATTCGATATCCTGCTTGGTTATATATAGATTATCATATCAACTTAGTAAGGAATTGAAGGAAGCTTTCATCAGGAGAGGAATAACTGAAATGAAGAGATTAAGAAATATTCTCTAATCTATAGTGCCCAAAGTGGATATCGAGATTAAGCGATCAGGATTATGAGTAACTAGCAAAACATTTCCCAGCTCAGGTTGTTTTAGTTTACTCATGTATTCTGGAGATCACTGTTTTAGTTTCCTCATGTATTCTGGAGATCACTGTTTTAGTTTCCTCATTTTTTCTGGAGATCACTGTTTTAGTTTCCTCATTTATTCTGGAGATCACTGTTTTAGTTTCCTCATGTATTCTGGNGTATATATATATATATATATATTTATAACCTAATAGTTCCGCTGCGTGAACATGGAAATTGAAAAACTATGACTTTGGATTTTATATTGGATTGTTTTTCCATGCTTCTTTACCTATCTATATATGCAATCTATCAATCTATCTTTCTTTCTATGTATACGATACATAAATATATCATTTAACTTTTACATTCATCATATATCTATTTATCTCACTCATCTACCATTTTATCTTTCTATCAACTCACTTTTGTTTGATAATTTTCAAAATGATAAAAAAAATCAAATGTTCACAAAAAAATACTTTAAACTTTGTTAATGCTTGGCCGGTGAAAGTGAAAATATTAAGTGTGTCAAATTTCAAAAAGCAATTTTAAAAGAATGTAACATTCCTCAAAATTGGTCATCATGTTATCATATGAAGCCCTCCCATCAGCTACCACCCTTTCCCCTGCTGTTTTTTCTAGCCCCCCCCCGCCCCCCCCCATTTACACACCCCAGCGACCCCCCTAAGAGCGTGTTCATTAAAAGTGAATTTGAGTTTAAATTGTTTTACAAATTATAAAAATCATTGTTTGACAATTTACTTGAGTTCTGTTAGAGCAAAGGGCGTGACAGGGGTTGTTGCTAACCTAGAAAATTTAAAAAAATTAGAAGTTCAATAATTTTGAAGATATCGTCGTTTTTCTTACTTAAAAAGAGCTTAATTCTATAAAAATACAACTTATTTTGTAAGAGTTTTTTCAAACTCTGTAGGAAGTTGGAAGCTTATTTGAGTTCGGATTACTTGAAAATTATGGAATTCTCTAATTTCTGAGAAATATTACTTAGCTCAACGATCTGACAGTTTAATTTTAACCATTAATAATTTTAATCATTTTAATCATAACAATTCATAATAATTCAAAACCAAATTTTCTGCAGTGTAACCAAACAAAGAATTTAAGGCGCTCCGCACACCTTGCTCTTATCTTTTAACCCTATCTCCGCTGGGGTACTTGAAAACCAGGATACGCTGGGGGGGGGTCAATTTGACCCCCCCCCTCTAAATCCCTATGCCTGTATA